AGAACAATGCCTGAGTTCGCTACCTCAGTATAAAGACTCATTTAATGGGCATGCAGGTGTTTTAGATGTGGATATTTCCACAATCCCCATAAGGCCGCTTGTGCTCACACATCCCCTAAGGCCAAAGAAAGCTCGTTTCAGGTACACCTGTGATTATGGGGGTAGACATCAGCAGCTAGTTTGAACACCACAGCAACTTCAGGGAGCTCAGAATCAGACCCAAAATGCTCTTGTAGGGGTTTTACCTGAACCAGGATGGTGAAGAGGTGCTTATCCTCTGGAGGACTTCCTCCGGAAGCTGGAAATTCCCAATCAAGGTCCAGCCCATCAAACTTGTGCTTGCGAAGGAAAGCAATCACTGAATCAATGAATGTTTTACGGTTGGCAGCAGAGGATACCACGGCAGTAAATCTGGAAGAATACATTTTACTTGACGAGTGCATTATTAACCCCATCGTGGCCTTCGGTGTGCGCCAGTACTTCCAACGAGCCTGATTTTCAGCTGGTTTAAGTCAGCGTGCGACCATACCATCAGCTGCCTCTCCAGCCTTATTCCTCTGTTGATATTATGCAACCAAATTGCTTTCCTTATTTCTTTCCTTCTCTTTCCTATACCTGTCCCACTCTCGCTCTTTCTCCCCCACCCACGCCACTGAAGCATTATTGCATAATGCTGTTTCAAAAAAAGCCAGCACCATACCGGATGCATCTACACGAGACGTTTGCTGCAGTTACCTAATTAACTCTGCAGTAAGCATCTAAACCTGCAGTACTATTAGGACAGAGTGAACAAATTAACTCTGGCATGGGTTAGTACGTGTAAATACAAGCACTATCCAGCGGTGGAGTTTTTTACTCTGCTACAATGAATGTGTAGATGCTGGTGGGGTTGGTATGAGGGTGCTTCAGTGCAGGGGATCATCCTCATGCCCCAGCCAGCCCTTCTGCAGCCCGTTATGCCAGGTTGGAGTAGCTGCAGGCTGAGAGGCTGCCACCCCAGGGCCCCCTGCCAGCTGGGGCTGCACTGACCTGGCTCAACACAATGTAGTCCCCCCAAATGCAGAGCCCAGAAACAATAAACTCTGGTGTGATCTGCACTGGAGTTTATTGCTGTGCATTATTATCACATGTAGATGCACCTACTGGGATGTATAAACTTCAGGATTGTTTGTAGGGCATCAGAAGTAATCTTTCTACACTACTCAGCACTGGTTAGGCTTCAGCTAGAGCAGGACATCTGATTTTGGGCACTACACTTCAAGAAAGAAGAGGGGCCAAAGGAGAGCAACAAAAAATGAACAGAAGTGTGAAAGTCATGACTGATGAAGAAAGGTTGAAATAATAGATTTGTTTGCTCAAACAAGAGAAGGCCAAAGAGAGACACATTAGCAGGCTTCAAATGTAAAAAAAATTCTGCAGAAAGGAAGGTTACAAACTGTTTTCCGTCTCCCCTGGAGATACAGTAATGTGATTAACATGGAACAAGGGAGATCTAGGACAGATATTAGGGAAAAAAAATTAAATTGGAGGGACAGTTAAGTACAGGACCAGTTTACCTATCGAAGCCATGTAACCTCTGCCATCAGAGGAAAATAATCAAATAAAAATATTAAGGTAGATACATTTCTGACAGTAAAAGTTTAGGTATGGTCAATTCTGCCATGAGCAGGGGGATAAATTAGATGATATCCTGAGATCTCCTCCATCCCTGATTTTCTGTTATTCTGTTACAACTCTCTCTTCATTATACAGCCATCAATTATTAATATAATCATCTAATTACAAAAACAGGGCTTGATCACGGCAAGTACTAAAGCCATCAGATCCAAGAGTTGATACACTTAGCTGTAAGAGAATGACAAGTCCCCCAAAGTTATTGGCACTGTTTATTCTGACTATCACTGTTCTCATTAACAGGCACCAAAAAAGAAGGATATGAGAACCCGCTTCCTCACCACCACCATCATCCCATTGAAAGATGAAAGGAAAAATGCTTACTTTTGGCTGCCAAAGTTTCCACCTCCAACAGCCAGAAGGGTGACAAGATTTTTATTTCTAGAAATCAAGGAGGGGAAATTGGAGGGGGAAAAAAATAAGTGAGTTAAAATATATGCATTCTTCCTTTTCCATTTTTTTAAATGCTTTATAAATTTCCCTTCTCTTCACATTCCCCTCTCTGGAATTACTACAAATCCACACTAGTTTGATGGAGGGTAGAGCACAGCAGCTTTCTTTGCTCGTGGCATTGCAGTCTGCTGGCACGAAAAACTGGAACTTGAAAATCCACTGACAATGGGTTTGAACAGAAATTTGAAACTCAACCCCCACCCCGCAACCACCACCCAGACAAACAAGCAAAAATACAGTCCTACCCTCACCCAAAATTTTGAGCATAGTATCATACTTAGGGCCTACCTGCAACCCTACGCTGAAACACATTTGAAATGCAAGCTCTCGTCACATCAACCCTAAACATAGCATCTGTTAAAGTTACCTGAACCTATTGCAAGAAGATTTTTAATAATCTGTAAAGGTGAACTGCAAAGGACACAATGTTTGATTCCCATTTTGCTATTTTCTGAGAAACAGAAGGCTGAAACCCCCCCCTAGAAAAGGATTATATATGAGTTGTTTTATTTCGTTTTTTCATGGTTGTCTGTGAAGCTGCTTATGGGTTACAGAATAAATTCAGAATTCGCCTGCCCTAGGAAACTCTATGGGTGACTCGAGTACTAGCAGGCGATTAAAACATGAGGGATATCAAAGAAGAAGTTCCTTCATTTTTTTAAATGGCAGGGAAAGGGACTCAGACTGTATACCTTCTAGATCTGGTGTACTTTTGCAAGCAACTTATTTAACTAATCTTTTTTAAGGATTTTACAAACCCGTCCCCAAACTACACTTCTGAGTTGTGCAAAAGTCATTCACCTAAATGCACACAAAAAAGAAGATATGGGAAAGGGAAAAAACAAGCAGTTAAACAAAGCTTTGAAGTAAGGCTTAAGCTTATGCTTTCTTTGCATAATCTTAAGAAGGAAATAAGAGCACAAACCTGTTCTTTAGAGCATTAAACTGACTATAGAGGGTTTCATCATTCCACTCCATAGTGGTGATCTTATGATCCTTTATTCCAGCAAAGGAATAAATCAAGTGGGTACACAAAAATGGGTCCACATCTTCAGGAGTGTATTTAGCTGCTCCTGGCCTGAACTGAGACCAGTTGTTGAAGTAGCAAACAAGTTTATAGGCAGAGCCTGGTTGAAAAAAGAAGGTGGGGGTTAGCAGCAGGTATTATCACATGCATAATATAATAGGTGGGTAAATATAGGGACCTAATGGGCTGGCTGTCATCCCAAAAATAGCATGGCTACACAGTTAGCTGGTTAAAATTGATGAGCAGGGATTTCATCTGTATTCTGTGTAGTAACAACTTGCACATTAGGGTGGCAAACTAAATCTTGAAATCATGCATGGCATTCCCTGGCAACCGAGCACCAGATTGTAAACGGAGCTGTTTGATTCTCCAGATTTCTAATGGTGTTTCTGAAGGGTGACTGATCTCGTGAAAGACTGGATACGTAGAAAGGACTCACCGGCTTCATTCATACAAGCTACCTGGTGTGTGTTGCTATATTTATTAATGATGTCTGTCATTTATAATGCAGACAGTGGAAACCACTTTCATATTATATTGTAAGCGACTCAAGTGGCTTCATGCAAATCTAAAGCATAAAACATGTATCAGCTCTATACCATGGAGCGGAAGTTAAAGGTATATATTGATCATGTGGATTCACCAGGTTATTAAAAAAATTCCCTTCCCTTTAACCAGACAGTGTAACATTTCCCCAATCCTGAAGTCCATATTCAGAGCCTGATTTTATCCCCATATTTGTCAGTCAGAAGTAACTTCCTAGGATGCACTGGAGTTGTACTGCGCTGAGAACCACGTCATCCGCCCCCAGGCAAAATGCTCAGGAGCTTTAAAGACACTTTTCCCACATCTAGAATGAGTG